TGTTTTTATCCTCCCAGACAAGTCTGGTACCAATTAACCGACCCCGGAGGGATGGAAGGCTTGGTTGGCCCGGGCGACTCACGACCCAGGATTTGATCCCCGGACCGCTCGCGTGGTAAGCGTGCCACTTGCCACTACACCACTTCCGCCCCTTATACAAACAGTATCAAAGGAAATTACACGCGCAAACATCCACCATAGCAAAAATGGCAAAAGATCAGATTGAAGACTAGCTTCTCAACAACAACTTATCGACACAATTCCCTTGTAAAACGGAGATATCAAATAACATCACGAAATACCTCCTCGGGTTCGAGCAAAGGCCTTGGGACCAGAACGTGAGTCGTCCGCAAGAGCACAAGAATACATCGGAGGAATTTCTTTCCAAACCATAATAGACTCCTCCTCACCAAGAAAGTACGGCATTGGTTAGCCCGGCATGGCAGTACCGGAGTCTCTCAAGGATTGCCTCCCTGCGAATCGATCAAATCATGGCTGTGAGGATAGACACGAAGGAGGGGTACTGGACCATACTCTCCGTGTACGCACCGCAAGCCGGATGCCCCGAAAGTGACAAGGACGAGTTCTATCTAAGCCTAAGCCATGACGATCCGGAAGGATGATTACCTGACCATAGCAGGTGATCTGAATGGTCACGTCGGCAGTGACAGAAGAGGCCTGGAAAGGGTGCACGGAGGTAGAGGGATAGGAACGAGGAACGCTGAGGGAGAGAGGGTTCTGGACCTGGCTACAGCCCACGACCTGGCAGTCTGCAGCACGTTCTTCGCGAAAAAGGACCTACAGCAGTGGAGGGAGACAGACGGAAATCGACCATGTGCTGGTAAGAAGATCATCCCTCAAGAACTGTGAAGGATATCAAGGTACTCCCGGCGAAGAACTGGCTCCCCAGCACAGGCCCCTCCTGGCAGACATAGCCATAGACCTCCCCAAGAAGACAAGGGTAAGAACCGAGAGGAGAATCCGGTGGTGGAAGTTGCACCAAGCGGAGAAGATGACCTCAAACGAAGGATAATGGAAGTTGGTCTCCCAGATCCAGGGACCAGTGCAGCAGACTTGGGCAATGCAGCTGAGATCATCCTACGATGCGCCAAGGAGGTACTGGGCGAGACGCGAGGTGGATTCAGAGGAGACAAGGCAGCGTGGTTCTGGAACGAGGAGGTCCAGCGAGTCGTGAAGCAGAAGAAGGAAGCATACAAGCGCTGGCAGAAGACCCGGAGCCCCGAAGACCTCGCTACCTACAAGAGTTGCAAGAGGCTCGCTAAGGCTGCCGTCGCCAAGGCGAAGAATTAATGAATGAGACGCTTGCCCCGAGTAATTGAAAGCAACAAACGTATGATAAGTTTGCCTTCAGGACGGCTGAAAGCGACGCAAACCTGAGCTGCTAATTCAGAAATCAGGATGTGAGAAGCGTGAAGAGCAGCACGGCGCATCCTGAAGAGCAGCCGAAATAGACAAAGGAGGTGTAAGCAATACTTTAGGGGCTTCTGACGAGAATCCCCCACCACGGAAAACTCCACAGCGAAGCCATAGCTGTCCATGATCGCACCATTGACCGAGGAATGAGTTCGAACGTGCACGCCGGGCAGATGAAGGTTGTCAAGGATTTAGTCCGACGTGTGTCCCAATGTGTATGGAGGGGTGAGTAGCTGAGACGTGATCAGAATGCTACCCGCTTTATAACACTGTGACTACGCGAGGAGATAGTCAGATGCCTGGAGAACAAGTACTATCGTCCCCATCTTCAAGCAGAAGGGTGACGCGATGGACTGCTCCAACTACCGCGGGATCAAGTTGACTGCTCATACAATGAAGCTGTACGAGCGACTGGTCGACTCGAAACTGCGGGAGCTGGTCCCGATCTCCCAGGAACAGTTCGGGTTCATTGCTGGAAGATCCACAGCGGATACCATCTTCATGGCTAAGCAAGTGAGCGCAGAGCGAGTATCTGGAAGCGCTCTACGCACATTATCTATTATCTGGTGAGGGATCCTATCTTGGAGCTTAAGCAGCTATAAGCGACGCCGCATGGCCCTAACGAAGAGGAGAATTGACTCACGGTTTGTTGTGCAACAAGGATAAGTGTCAACGAGCCGGTTTCCTCTTCCTCCTGCACTAGATGTGCCTTATAGACGAATCATGAGGGGCCCAGGAAGAGCATCCTTCTTAACGCTGGCGACACTCTGAAAGACTGAAGTAGCGGATCTCGCAGATTCAAGAACCTCACGGGCAAGGTGCAATGCAGAAATACGGCTACGGTCTAAATTTAAGAACAACTAAGTTATCTGAGCTCTGAATTAGGGTACCAGAGTCGATCGTGGAAGGTCATGGAGAAAGCCATAAAAAGTGTGATACCTTTCCGAATACTATTGAGAGGCGATCTGCCGGCCGAAGCAGTGTGGATCCTGGAAATATAGGCAAAGGCCTAATGCGGCATGAGATAGATGATGAGATCCATCTGGAATCCTTTAAGACCGAAAGGTTTTTAGCACCAGAGATGCTCAACGGATAAGAATGTATTATGGCGGACAGATGATAAAGGCGTAGTGATGCCCTACGGTCAGCAAGTTCCCGGCGCCATGAATTAGGTAATCAGAAATGGCAACGTTTCTACCAACCAGTTGCCGAAATGAGGCTAAGATGGTCTGTGACTGGAAGTGCCTGGACAGGATCAGGAACGAGGATATGGGAGCGATAATGCAGACTACCTGTGTCCAGCTGGAGGATGAGGGAGCAACGACTGCGATGGTATGTACACGTGCTAAGGCGGTCGCAGAACCCCACCCGATAAGAAAAGCGAGAAACGTGTCAAGAAGGGTCTCAGTTAAGTCAGGGCCACTACAGAAGATGCCCTGGATAGACCAACATGGCGACAGCTGACAAGACAGCGGACCCTGCGACTGCGCGGGACTAACGCTAGGGAGAAGAAAAAGATCATTTTTTACACGACATTCATTTAGTTTCCATTTTTTGCCCCACCGTGTACAATTGTGTGCATTAACAGTGTTGCGCGGATCATATCAAAATTCATAACAAAATAAGGCATATGTGCAATATTCACAACAAAGAAAAAGATCCGGTTATGTTCTAACAATATCGTATGGGTCAGGAGATCCGAAATGCGATAGCTTGCCTATTTCTTAATCAAATTTGGTTTTGAACGAGCGTTTTTACGTTGGATGAATTTAGCAATTTAGCACTTTCAATACTGCTTATATATAATCGTACAAATTCAAAACTTTCCCAAGGATTGAATGTCTTCGTTTGCTAGGGAGTACAGAAATATCAGGCTACCAAAATTTTTGCTGGAAAGAAAATATGATGAAAAAATAACAATCTTCAGGGTAGAACCCACTCAAAAATTTCTACCCAACACTTGAACGTGGACACATAAGGTGTACTTAATAAAGCCCCTCCCATAACTCGCGCATACAAAGCAGTTTTGTCTGCAAGTGGAACTCCTGAACCACACTCCCAATAGTAACATGATTTTCACAAAATAAGTACGTAAGAGGGAATTCAACAAATATAAGACTTATTCACCTGAATTAAGTTAACAACATAAGTAACAACATAAAACTTTTAAGTAATATTAACAAATCTGACAGTGTGACAAGAAAGCGTCGAGTCCAGAATGACACCATTACATCATTCCTCCCTTTGGACGGCCAAGTTCCCATAATACGCCGTCAGCGTCTTGATCTTCTTATTCAGGCAACTTTGCTCTATCTCGCATCTTCCACCTGGTCCACTCAGCGAAATCAACTAGAAAAATTAAGATAAAAAAATCGAGATAAAAAATTCGAATACCGATGCAAACAAGTATAAAAATTTTGAGAGCTCTTATGCATCTTCAAACGTCGCATAAATTGAATTAAATGCATTTAATACGTTGACGACATCCCATTGGGCGGTAATTTGACATGATTTTTTCTCCAAATCCGCTACTACTTCTACAGTTCCGTTAGGCACATAGTTTTCTGAATCTGATAAGACAGTGAATGACGAATGAAAACGCCAAACAAATTGAGCTAAACAATTTCACCGCGCGAAAATGTGACGCTCATGAGCGTCGCGCTGCTAGCAATGCGTTAATAGGCATCTATAATTTGGAGGGTTTGATATGATCTGAAGCCATGGTGGTGCCTAAAAACGACCCATGCAAAGACTTTCATCCTTAAATTATAAACCCACTTGTTTCACTTTCGTGTTCCTCGGTAGAAAATAAGCTATGTTCGGCGACATCTTTCGTGCCGCAGTATAGATGTCGAAACCGTTAGGCGTGAGATCGTCAAGGTCAAAATCCTATGAGCAAAAATGTCGGGATACCAAAGTGTACAACTTCTGTCCAACATTACTCACCTTCGACTTCAGGTAGCTTGGTCCACCCCATGGAGGACTGAGGAATACTGCGTCAACCTGGCAATAAAAACAGATGTTTAAGTGTCAAAACATGAAACTGCTGGAACTGCACCTCTGCTGACTTTCCAACGCCACTCGTCCATTTTGCCGCAAAATGAAAGAAATCACCACAGATGAACTCAATACGGTCCTCAACTCCATAAACCTGAAAGGTTTTTTCAAATGGGGTAACAACAATGAGCATAGTCATAAAAAGATCTATGCGCCTCTGCAGCTTGAAAAAAAACAGTGTCTACTGTTGAAACAAGAGCTAGGACGAAATCCAAAAGGAAGAGTACGGACGATAACCATACCTTTGCATTCTCGCGAGCGCACTTCAGCCGAACCGGATCCAGGTCAATTGCTATTACTGAAAAAGCACAAATCAAAATGAGAGCATGCTCAGTTTAAGACCGTATGATTTCGCAGCAATTTCTCACGAAACTCGTCCATAGACGAGTTCCCAGGATTTCGTTTCCTTTTCTCCTTCATTTTTATCCTTTACTTTCTTTTCCCCAAAAATCGTGAGCAGCCACTACTATCCCTGGCGAAAATTCTCACATAATTAGCCATGAGGCGCTATGGTGTGTAATCTGATCCTGAACTCACCTAACGCTCCCTTCATCGCCAACTGGATACTGTTTCCACCTACACCGGCGAAAGCGTCAACAATCAACACATTCGGTCGCCGAACCATCCGATCAGCAATGTGTTCCGCTATCCGTTCCGGTGTGACCGAGAACCATCCCTCTATAAAGAAAGCTTTAAAGAACCAAGAAAATGTAGATTTTTATCAGTAAAAAACCCTTTTATTATATGAACTGCTAACTTGATGTATCGGTTTGTATGTCTATATGTGAGAACGTATGCCCGTCTGTCCTTCCGCAAAATGAAGTGATAGGGAAGCTCGAGGAATATAAGCAACTGCAGAGGACGGGAGAAAGGGGGAGCAAAACGTTACCAACAGAACTAAGGTCTTTGTGGCAGCCTTTCAGCCGCCCGTTCGCCACTATTCGAACGAGAGGCTCGCATTTGGGGGTCGAAAAGGTTAACTATCTTGGGAAATGGGGTTCGTAAAGAGGGGTTACATCCGACAGGCTTTTCGACGAGTTTTCGAAAGTCTTATGAGAGTAGGGTAAGCAGAAAAAGTTGGTGGTATCGCTTGATGACCTTTACCTTGATGACTATAAGACTAGTGATCGTGGTACGGGAGAGGGGGTCGTATTGAAAGAGCCTCGAAGACTGATGGTTGTGATGGGGGTCGCATCAAGACCCACCTAAAGGAAGCGGATCGCAAAATTTTTCGGAAAGTACGAACGCGACGGTTGATCCTGCTTCGTGGTGAGATGATACTCTGATCTCAGGACATAAATTTGATTATCCCCTCTCCTGTACAAAATACCTCTCAAGCATACGTACATATACCCTCGGTTGACGGACTACTTGAACTCAGCTTTGACAAACGCTGTAAGCTCGCTCGCAAATACCTCTCCTCTCCAAGGCTTGGTCCCAGGGCATTTGCCCGTTCTCTGATCGCCTGTGTTTTAGTCATCGCGGCAGGACCATGAAGGAAGAATCAAGTAGTCCGTAAACTGTATACCCTCCACGAGATTCCACAGGTCAAAAGGAGGATGAACACAGCGGAAGGCGTAAAGTTGGCAGGAAGCTAGATACCACCAGGTTTGTCTCCAGCGGTCACCGGGGGAAATTTGGTGGTAGAAGTACTAGAACCACTGAAAATTACTAGCCGCCATAAGCAAACAGACCTCGGTCCATCAGAATTCCCTTGTCCAGTTTGAGAACAGGCGATACCTCTGATACCAATACTTGATAATTTCCTACAAAATTATAAGATTGACAACACTAGCGATGACGCATTTCAACAACGGAGTTCAAAAATTGGTCACCATTCAAATGACCACCAACCTTATCGTCCCTGTAGGCTTCAAAGGCATTCTTGGCAACTAAATGAGCATCCTTCGTAGGATCGAACGCGAATGAAAAATTCGCCTTGCAGTAATCAACTTCACTAGAAGTTTGTCGCTCATTTTCAAGCACTTTCTGATTGGTCCGCTGGCCTTGCGTCACTCTTAGCCTCCTCTTTTCTAGAAAAAGGTTTTTCAAAAATCAAAATCTGCATAATCAGAAGTAAAGCACCATGTTAGACAGAAACAAAAAGAACGTGCATGCGTGGAAATCACCGATCTACAAGCTCACCTATTGAGGACAACGCTCATGGATGCCGCATAAGGATCGTAAAGATCATAGTAGATGTCGCTGAATATCTAGAAGCCGTAGTCGATGTTCAACTATTAACTGGTAATTGTACTTTTCTTGATTTAGCAGCGCCACAATACAAAACTCACTTCATCGTCACCGTAGATAACCGGGAAACGCCTTTCATGCTCTCGTTTTACCTTCTTTTGTGCAGGGGCTATCCTCAGCTGACTCTGATTTATTGTCACCGTCACCTGGTGAAATTACGTCCGATTCGTTGTAGCCAGGTACAAAGCCCATCTTCTCAATCTAAACTTCTAGAAATGCTGAATAGATCCCGCTTAACAAAGAAGCAGAAAGAAGTAAGTACCTTTCTAAGAAAAGTCTTGCAACGATGACTGGTGAGCGCAATGCGAAAAAGTTCGAAATCTTTTTCAGCCAATTTCACAACCTTTTCTGAGTGTAAGTCGAATAGCTCTTCGTAAGTAGAAAAGTTGACGCCCTTGGTAAGTCCAAAGTATTTCGAAATATGCTGAAAATAAACTATGTACTATAAAAGAATTAAGCATTTCAAGCTAAACAACATTCGTGACTGTTTACGAACAAAACATTTTATAGAGACCAATATTAACGCCCACAAGGACAAAGAAGCAGACCTTCCAG